AAGAGAAGGACCAAATGACAGACAGGCAAAGAGAGAGAAGGGGGGTGTGGGGAGAAACAGACGGACAGACAGACAGTCAGACTGATGACTTTTGCTCTGAAATTGAAATAGTGAAGCTCCTTTTACATTAACATAACAGTAAATTAATAAATTAAACGCACGCTGTAGGCCCTACTGGCACCGGCCCCTTAACCGTGATTATTACTTTGCACAAATTTCAACAAAACTTTGAGAAAAAAAAAATATTCACCCAAGGCAACGAACAATTTGTCAGTAAGGGTATGAAGAAAATCAATCAACTTGTTTGGAAAATATCAAGTCTTTAAAATTTCAACCAAAATTGAGTAAATTTTAAAATTGCACGAATCTTGTTTAAAAAAACATCCTTGGTAAAGCGCAAACATTACTGCTTAAAATCTAAACTGTTCAGCTACAGGTACGTGATCGGCCCATTCTGGTTTCGGTTTCAGTCAAGACAAGGACGGTAAAAGTAAAATCATAACGGCCACATCACATGGAATATTTTAATCTCATTATGCTGAGAAAGTCGAGGAGAAGTTTGAGGAGGAGAAAGGGGTTATAATACAATAATACATGTACTGCTGAGGATGCCTGGTTCCAGCAGCGTGGGACACTACACCGAGAGTGGCCCTTACATGGTTATATATTTACGTATTATAATATAAGTCACATGTACAAGAAAAGTTTGGGGACCACTTTGTGTTGTAAGCCAAATGGTCACACAATCACAATTTCAATCATGGTCACCCCATAACCTCAATTTGAGATTGAACCCCCTCGATTATTACCTAAAGTATGTTGTTGCTTTTTTTTGGGGGGGTGGGGGTGGGGGGAGGGGTTGTTTGTTTTTTCAGACAGTCATTGGAAACAACCCTATGACAATCATACAGATGAAACTCAACGTTGAACAGTACGTCCAAAGAATATACCATATTAAAGGCAAAAAGCGAGACAGACAGATAGACAGACAGAAAGACAGACAGACAGACAGACAGGGACAGACAGACAGACACACAGCTGTAATTAATGCCATGCAAGTTACTCACTACAGTTAATAAGGCAATAAATGAAACCTACAATAAGGCCACCAAGATTTGTTCACCAGTAAAAGTTAAGAGTATCTTTCTACGGAATACGTTTTTCAGGCATACTGTGAATGTCATCAGAGAATATTTGTGGTGTGCTAAAATTGAGACGTCTTAATTTAAATCAGGACCACTGTAACAGAAAGATAAGCTGCTTAGATAAGAAACTCATATAAAAAGAAAAAACATACAGAACTCCAAAATGGAAATAAACTGAACACCAACACAGAATTAAATTTCATTGAATTGTCATTGTTTATAAATGAAAATATATATATTTCATGTAGGTACAAGTACAAGTAGGTTATATATACAACAAGTGTGTACACCGAAAACCCTTGCAAAAGAACATGGTTTGTGTTTTGGGTCATTTTACCCATAATAGCATTGAACCCTCATGCATGCAAAACGGATAATATATAGGCCACTTCACTTTTGGTCCACTTTCATATAGAACTATGGCGTCCTGATACAAACTATCAAAGGGTAGCAAAGTCATATGTGTGATACAATCAGAAATATATGAAAGAAAGCATTCGTTCTTTGAGGTGATTCACCTACTATACAGTTTAACAAAATTAAATGATACACGTGAAAAGAAAATGAAAGGGCAGAAAGAAGGGGGGGAAAAGCAGAATTTAAATTTAATTTTAATTTAATTTAAATGAGGAGAAGGGTTTATCGTGCCTGTTCTTGTGGGTTTTGAATACAACATTCTGCTCTGAATTCATCCATTCTTGATTTACAATTAGCACGAAAGATTTGAAAACTTCTGAAAGAAAAAGTGGTATATTTAGTTGGGTGTCAGAAAATGAAAGTGAAACAATTATTGTCGAAAGCTCCATGGTTTGACTGGTCATGTCTATGAAATGTTGAAAATGTGGTCAACCTGCTTTATTAATGCAGAAGTTTCATGGTCTACATCATTTTCAACTGGCAGAGCATGTTTGGACACTCTTTTGCATGTGCGTTTGGGAGCATGACAAAATGCATACACACAATGTTTATAAGTCAATTAATTCTCAACAGCCATTGGAAGCTCCAAAATATTCCCTTTAATACAACATACACAGATCTTCATTCAAAGTCAACAGCATTTACAACATCAGGGAGATTCCAATATATATCAAATTTCATTGTATGATTATGAAGCACAAAATAAAACTGAAGACTACAGCTTATGCATATATTATGATGAAGAACAAAGATCAATTGAAATAAACTCAAAACTAATAAAATATATACATTATGTAGGTATAAATCACTGAGGTAATGAATAACAGGGTGTTAACTACAATTATTATTATCATGCATTATTCATGAATTTTTATCCATGATAGACCTGAGCATTTCAAATATGAGGAACAGAACATAAAAAAGCAGCAGAGGAGCTTTTAGTGGGATCACCTTGAGAACCCAACTCCAAATGGAAAAAGACAAAACAGAACAAACAATGACACAATTCATCCCCTTCCAGATACAGACATTACAGAGATAACAAAACATTCTAAAACGTCAGATCCTAGGTTTGAAAACAAGTGACGGCATAAGCTTCTGTGATAATACCCTTTGCGGTTACACCTTGGACCTTGTCTTGTGGTGTGTAAGCCTGAAAGACACCGTGCTGTTACCCGAGACAAGCACTTTTTAAAATTGGCATTTAAGTCTGTTGTCAAACGAGTTAGTATTTACATATATTTGAAATTTTTGTCCTATATTGTAAATACATGTACATGATACAAAAAGCAGCTTACAAAAAGGGTTAACAAAATAAGACTAAATTTTTCTTAAAAAGCAATCTTTCTAAAACTAAAACAAAGAGGAACATGCAGTGCAATAGATTTTTTTACTTTAGAATTTAGAACAGAATAAAAAACAAAAAAGTGAAGTTACACTATAATAATACCATTTACAAAACAGAACTCCAAACCCAAAGCAGGCTGCAACAATCTGACAGCTATACAATTCTAAAAAATTACAGGTACTTCACACCCCTATCAACCTGATGAAAATATTTTAATGCTGTTCAGATCTAGTACTTCTAAACATAAATTCATACAGTAATGAGAAAAAAAAAAAAAGAAACAGATCTTATCTGAGCAGAAAAACAGGATTTTGATTTTTAAGTGCAGCACAGTTAGACGAGGAAAAACCAATCTTAACAATCATTGACCAACCTTTGTTTTAATTTTAGCAAGAGTTTTACAGAACTTGCAACAACATAATTAGGTCCTAACAGAGCCGTATATTAGAGATGTTACAAGAGAGTAACAAACACAAAAAAGAAGGAAGAGATATAAAAACGATAAGTGTTTGAGTACAAAAAAGGAGCAAACCACGATGTAACAACTGAATACTGACCAAAGAATAAGAAAAACAGAATTACACGTAAATAAATTTTTGTACAACCCTTTAAGTCAGTAATACTAAGGTTGTACAAGTCAAAGCAGAAAATGTTATCAAACGGCAGTGAAAGCATTGTATCAGGCATGGGCAAGTAGGTCCAAGTCTTGGGCAGGATCAAGCGAATCCGAATACCTCACCGGCCCCAAGTAAGAGAAAACTGGGTGAAATAAGTTGACATACCCAGGCTTTCAAAAGTGAGACTTAAGCTGACACTACAGCATATTATTTTTAAAAATTATATATATATATATATATATGTCACTTAAGAGCATTTCATGTGACAAAATATTAGATTTTTTGCTGCTTCTAGCTGGGCTAAAAACTATACCATTATGTTAATTTTCAAGACAAACTTTTGTTTTTATTAGCAAACCACATCAAGGGCCCCACCATCAACTCTTGTTACCTTGCAAAAAATAGTCAATTTCAACAATCACCATAACACACTTTCAAACAAATTTTTCCCAAAGATAAAGATGATTGTGAACTAAACATGCTGTACATTGACCAACAATGCAGACCAACTATGGGAGCACTAAATGCCACAACCTCCACCTTTTTGTCAATGGTGAACTTTGAACACTAACAAAACATATATACCATATGTCTGTCTTGAAAATTTTAGAAAAAAAGGACCACAGAAAAAAAAAATCTTGATAGAGATTCTAGTCGCCGATTTCCAAATCGTCTGACCACCCAAGGAACACCAGTCAGAAATACACCACTGCTAATGGGGTGTACTTTCAGAATACGGAAAGGTTAAAGTTAAGTGCATTGAGGTGAGGCATGCGCCCAGATCTGTTCAGTTAAGATATCAACAAATTTTTGGCATTTTCAACAAAAAGAAAAGTACAAGTCACAGCAGGCAGAGAGACTTCATTTTTAACTTTTTTAAAATAAAAAGGACCACCCTTTTCCATCCTTCCCATAAACAAAGTGCTCAAAAACCATAAGAATACCTTAAACTTAAAATTCAACACCAAAATTATTACATTATATTGTCTTCATTACAACAAGTTCAAGACACTCTACTGTAACCTACAGACAAACAAAATATCTTAATTCAAAAATTACAGATGACGCCAGAGGATTGAAGCCACTGACAGCAGTACGCCACTGACAGCAGTAGAAATATCTGTCTGGGTGTAGAAAGGTACAAGTCACTTTTGACACACACTCAGCCATTAAATTATAAAGTAAGTATATGTACCACCACATTGCAGAGTTATTACAGTATTTCCAACACAGAGATACTAAAGCAGCAGACGTATCGCGTCACAACTGACCAAAAGTCTTTCCTCCATCAGACAATAAATGTACATCTGTGCACAACACAAACACTGAGTCTTTCATCAGTGTCAAAACTCTTGTCACTGCATGTACCACTGATGTGAGTGTAGGCCCGCTTGAGAAGATGGCAGAAAAGGTTGTCCGGGAATTGGGAAGTTCCTCTGAGGCAAATTTCCTGGTCCTGAGGTATGAGCAGTGAGGGGGTGAGCGGAGGGAGGGGGCAGGGCAGACGGCATGGACTGCATGTGTGGGCGTGGCGACGAGCTGGGAGTGCCGTTGTCGAGGTGGGGGTGGGGAGGATGAGGCATTCCCCCTTGCGGCACGTGATGATGTGGATGGGGCATGGAACTGTGAGGCATCAGCATATTGTGCTGGAACGGAGTCTCGACATTCCCAGCCCCTTCGTTCAAATACATGCTGAAGGACATTATTGGAGTTTGGGGCATGTCCACCGCATTCAGATCAAAGGGCAAACTGACCGGCTGCGGTGGTTGCATACTGTCTTCTTGGTTTTGAGGATTGAGGCGTGCTTTTTTCAGTGGCATGTCCCTGACTTTACGCTGCCTTTTCTCTCCCTTCTCCGTTTCCTTCTTCTTTCGTGCCGTCTCTCTTTTCAGAGCATCATCCTTGCCAGGAATACCCGACATGGACGCCTGTGCACAAGAAGAACCGTCTTTTGGCGAATTTTTCTGTGAAACTTTCACATGGCCCACTTGGCTGTTCCAAATTTTCTTAAATGAAGTAAGGCCCAGCTCCTTTTTTCCAGTGTGATTGCAGAGCTCTTTGTATTGCTTATACACACTTGTAAAAGTGTCCGTCGAAGGAAGTCGAACAACACGTCTTGCTTTGGCATTTTTAGGAGGCCTTGGTGCTGGAACTCCTTGAATGGCAGCGTACCTAAAATGATTTTTAAAAACAAAATAAGTACCTTAAGCCAAGTACTTAAAGGATGTGTGATGTGATGAGAATCAGAGTATTAAGTCAAAATCTATTAAAACCTTATAGTCAGTCTTCCACATTCACTTAAAGCTCAGTAAATTATCCATGTGTAGGTAAAACACCCTTCCTCAACATGTAAGGTTATTTAAGAGGCAGGATGTCCATCTCCAAAAGGACCAAACCAAATAGATGGAGATTCTTCAAAACTCCCTAAAACAACCCTGGACCAGAATGCATCATTGGAGATTTGAACCTGGGCCACCTGCTACGCAGTGCAGCATCATATCAGCTGTGTTAATGGTAAGCCTGTAAATATTATCCTGAATAATTTAACTGGTAATATTCCATTGTAAAACAGGTAGTACTTTCCATTTTGTATTTCAAACCAGTAGATCTATGTAAAATCAATTTATCCTTTACTTTGTGCAAGGCAATAACATACTCCAAAACATTTTTTAGCTTATCTTCCAATATCGCAAGAGATAAAACAAAGCTAATCAAAGAAAGCCTTGGACCATTCAATATAAATTATAAAACAATCCATAGTGAAACAATTTCCAGTTTCACAAGGCCTAAACGTACCTAACAATGACCTGAGCTTATACTTCTCATGCCAAACACTATAAATTACATCTTGCTTCCACTAACAAGCCAACATAATACTTTTTCAAGGAGAAAAGACGTCTTAAGTCTTATTAATAATTACATTTCCTTTGTAACATGGTATGTAGTCCTCAATCCAACATTTGTTAGATATTATTGAAAACAAGCTAAACTTTTACAAGTTATATATATCCAGGTCAGAGATAATAAATTGAACAAAACATAATACAGTGAAACCCCATCACTATACAAAACTCCAATTCCATGAGTATCACAATGGGAAATGTGGTGGTGGTGGCAGTGTTGGGGGGAGATGATTTGAAGGCACATCAGCTTTAATAAATTAAAAGCACAGGGGGGGGGGGGGAGAGACACAAATGCCAAACTAACATGTAGTCATGTAGACAAAAATATTGTAAATTTTCATTATAGGTTCACGTACAGTAGGCCTACAACCCTGAAGTTGTTCATTCTGACTAGTTTATCTTGAGAAAGTTTCAGTGACCTGTATCTTCAATCACAGCATAAGTTTTACTGTAGAAAAACTTTTACCTCAAAGACTCCCGATAGGTAACAATAAACTCCAAAGTATTTTTCCAACTCCCTCACTTTTGCGGCTAAAATGTGGCCCATTTACAAAAGACCTGAACTTTTTGACCAATCTGATCTAAATTTCAAAGATATCCCTTCAAAATCAGTATCGTAATGGAGTTTCACTGCATCATATAGAGAAATATAATTAATACATACTTGAGGATAAAATCCACCACATCTGAGACATCGTCAGTCCGTAATGCATTGTGTGGTTTCCTGCCTTGATTGCCATGTGTTCGAAACTCTGGCCCATTTTCCAGAAAGTGCTTTTTCAGCCTTTTCATATATTTTTCTCTAATATTGTTCACAAACAAGAAACAGACTTGGCAGATGCGGATATTCCGAAAACGATAGTGATAAGTGTTCCTTTGCCGAATATGATTTGTTGTGGTCTTTGTAGATGAAACAACAGAACTGCACAACAGACCCATGATGAAGAAATCACGAGGTTGCCGCTCCATTGTCGTGAGTTTGAAGCGATGTAACGCAATATCTTGCACACTCAGAGAAAGCAAGCAAGCACAACCGCAATTAATCATGTAGTCAATCACTTGTTGAATATTTTCTACAGGGCTTATGGTCTTTTTGGACACTTCTTCCTCCTCTGGGTCACTTGCAGGATCTTTGCTACACTGACTGTCACTGTTGCTTTTCATATGAGGATCAGAATACCCCATCTCCAAGGCCATTGAATAAGAATCAATCTTCTCCAGGGCTTCGATTTCAGCCCCTTTATCCTTGCTCTCTACACGAACTGGAAATATTTTAGTCTTTTTCTTCAGGTATGAGTATGACTTGTTAACTTTCCTCTTGAAAGGAGCAGGATGCTTTCTGGGTCTGCCTCGACCTCTTTTCTTTGGCGCGTCTGAATCAAGAATAAGACTTGGGTCTACCGTAACAGCAAGAACTTTGTCGGTAACTGAGCTCACTGCCTTTTCACCAACATTTGGAACACCCAGGCTTGCTCTGAACTCTTGAAGTTGGGTTTTGGTCCTGCCAGGGAGCTGACCTGGCCGATAAACATTTTTAGGAATTGCGTTTGCAGGCTTTGGTGGATCCTTAGTTTTAGACATAGTTGGCTTACTACTTGAGACACTAGCTAGTGAAATGTTTGAACTGCTGGACTGGTTGACTGCCTCCAACAAAGACATATTTTTGTCTGCAGCTTTGATGAGTAGACCAATTCCTTTTGTGCGTTCATCAAAACTGTCTTGAGATTCAGAGGAGATGTTAATATCTGTGGAGATCTTGGTGTCCTCTGTGTGCTCCTCCATCGAGAGCCGTGGTGAAACATCCAGTGTACAAGGAATCAGAGGGGCATCTGAAACAGTGCAGTTTCATGTTAATTCTCCCATGTCACAAAATTATATTGACAGTGACACATTTAGTCATTTAGAAACTGAAATTATAGTCTTCAACATTTCGACACATCTCACCAACATATAATCTTGGAAACTGAGTGGTGCAAACAAGACTGAGGCAACAGAAAAAGTATGCTGTCATACATCAAATCAGCAGAGACAAACTGTAATGAAACCCATTCTTGATGATGGTACAAAATTTTTATTTCGAGCAAGTCATTTCTTTTTCAGAGTCATGTGTTTCATGAACTTATGACTCTATACAGGTACACTATTATCAATATCATACATCTCTGTACATTTTGATCTGTTCTCAAAGTATAAAAATAGTTTTCCAGTGCAACAAATACAATTTTATTAAAAATGATAACAAAAAGGTGAGCAAACCTGCTCAATAATATCATGTTAACAGATTTGTTTCTGTATCAGTGTTCATATCAAGTGCAAACAGATCAGTTGTTCCAAATTAGTTTCAATTAACAGAGAATATACGGCATATTCTAGCTGAAAATGAATGGACTATCCACTTCAACCTATGTCCATATAATAAACGGCTGGATGTAAGACTCCAAAAAACACTACTTTGTCATTTGGCAATTGTCAGAGTCTTGCATCCACCTATCAATATGAAGGCCAATTTAATAATCTTGGAAAGAGGAGACCCACCCCCAAAAATCAGGCTGTCTAAGACAAAGCTTGAAAGGAGAGCAGAGCTTGGACTCAAGTGAAAAGGAAGTACTTAAGCAAACAATAGAAACTAAAGAAATATTGACCCATAAAAGACGTCCCAAATATCATCCCCAACAAAATGTTTCATTTGAAAATAAGCCATCCTATCAGATTTTAATGAAGAGCACCTTAGAAAGAGTATTCTTAGGTTTTGGCTCTTCCATAAGATATTTCGAAACTCATCAAAATATTGGAATTGCCCTAACAGAATTAATTATTAAAATGGGTCACTCACATCAGTACTGAAATTTTTTTTTAATGCAGGCTAACGTCACATCACACTTTTTGTTCAACATAAGCCCACAAATAAGGGGAAATGACTACAGCATTCTCTCGTGTTTCATGAAATCATCACTAACTGCCAGGATGATCTTTTGTTGCTTGCTGAATGTGATAGACCCTTAAGACTTGTACGTTAAATTTCATGAAGTAAAGAAGAGGTCAATTTGACGGAGTGCTGCTATGGCCAGTGTCATTACCCAACCCAATCAAAACTGATAATGCTTTTGAATTTGACCAACAAGCATCCAATCTTAGGCAGCCACATGATCTGACTCTCTGATTTGGGATTAGCAAAAGAATCAGCAAATGTGAGTCAGTAGAGCCAACATTATTACTAATTATTACATGTAAAACAAACAGTACTACCAGAAAGAGATGGATAAGTGGGGCACATGCATTTATCTATAATGCCATCAACGGTCAAGGGAAAAGTAACTGATAGGAGAGAAGTAGCAGCAAAGATTGTTATTTGAACCAAGGCAACTTAGAGAAATTCCTGTGGACCTCACTGTGCACACAAACCGTGTAACTTGAATCCCTAGAAAATATGACAGGCTTAAAATCTAAATCAATCTCCTTCAAATGACACAAGGGTTAAGATAATCTTGAATAAATTTTAAAAATTCAAGACATCATAGATGATATAATATGCTTTTGACAGACACATTATCCAGTTCTAATCCCTAACCAGGAATTGAATACCATTAGTTTGCACCCTCACTTATCTTACTGTCTCCCTCTCTGTCTGTCCTTGATTAAAAAAAAAGCTCTTTCTGCTCATAAGACACATTGTAACAAAAACACCAGAAATGTTAAAAAGTACATCTTGAAGGAAGCCCAACCCTCTTATTTCTTGCTAACTTTTATTCATTCTGTTAATTTCTCTCCCTGCCAGACTGCATTTCAGCCTATCAAACTTGGTTCTGATTGGCTTGATTCATTTAAGGAAAGGCGAGCCTCATAGAGCAATGCCAAGCCAGCCACAAACAATCACCATAGCAACATAGTAACCACCATTTCAGTCAGTCAGTCTTCTTATCTCAACAGGCATCAGAATCCTCAGCAGTATAAATAGAAATTATCCTTTCAAAGTTTGATATATTTCAGAAACACATCAGTTTCTCATCCTTGTTCAAATTACCTGCCCTGACATGAGATAATTGTAACACAAAAAAAGCCTTCTGGTGGCCCCCTCAGATCATGTCAAACAGCTCCTACTCTTTCCCCATTATTCTGTGAAAACTTAAAAATATGGGGAATACTTGGATGGGACTATTTCAGTGTCTGAACCCCTGGGCAAAAAAAAAGTATACAACTTCAACTTGGTGTAAGCAACAACTTTCACATGTGGTCAGCCAAGAGTATGTTTGAGAGGCAATGACCACTGCATCAGTGTGAAACAATAGAACTCTGATCAAGGCAAACTTGAACCACTTGACACTATAAACACAAGCTTCAAGTTCTCCATGCACAGCTCTATAAGTAGTAACAAAAGAAAAGATTGCTCTAAAGTATAGATCATATTTGGAAGACAAAACCCTTATTAATTTTCAGGACGAGGTCAGTACATTCATTGCAAATGTGAAAAAAGTAAATGTAAAACAAAATGTACATGAATATTTACCATTCAGAGAGGTGAAATGCTAAAAGGTGAAAGCTGCACGCCATTTCTTTACAGAAGGAAAACAACAAAAACTGTAAAAAGATGCAAATGAAATTTTTTTAAAGAAAGAAATGGACACAACAAGCCTTGCCAAGTATTCAAAATTCAAAACGACATCCACTTTGTTGCATTAATGAAGAACAGAAAATTTCACCATTTCCAAAGAAGGTACCAATACACACTTCACATGGACCATCACATCCCAACAGAAAGACCAAAATACTCAATAAAAATTCTCCCTACTCAGAAATATCTTAAGTCAGGTCCTCTGCATGTTCAAGTGAAGCATCGAACTGCTCAAGCACAGATGTCAGCGCAAAAGCTTTCAACCCAATATTACTATAAAAACAATCATGAATTAGTCTTTCTTGCTCTAGTAAGCACATCATTCCAGTGTAATAGTCAGCCAAGAACTTACCGAAATCATTATCTGAAGGTTGGGACATTCACAACTGCCAGGAATCACCCCTGATCCCTCACTTGAAGCCAAGACAATTATATCAATTTTCTACATCATCTTCGTTCTGCTAATGAAATCTTTCATCCTTACTTGGTCATTTAATTCAATCAATAAATTTCCATCCCTACAAGCTGTGAGAGAGACTACATTCAAGCAGAAAGATGAGAGATACTCGATAAAATATATTCTTAAGTGGAAATTAAACTTATTATGTCTTTTGCAAACAATGGGGGAAGAGTTTAAATATTGCATCACTGATGCCAGTGTGCCATATTAAATGTTTTTCCACCCAATGAAATTCATCTAAGCTCAAGCACTCTAAACCCGAGCGCCCATAGGAAACAGGCTTCCGGAGGTTCATTTTCTTTTTTTTGGGGGTGTGTGTTTGTCATAAAAATAAAAAGAAGCTTCTGCAAAACAAAGACTTCCAACCAAAAATCCAGCACAAACTGGAACCACCCTGACAGGACAATGTTTGAAAGGACTATGTCAAAAGAAAAATTTTTTAAAAAGCGATTCTACATTTTTCGTCTGGTCCACCTACAACCAATACAGTTTTAAAATATCATTGATAACAAAGAAAAGTCTGTAAAAAGTGAACAGGGACTGTTATGATGACCTATCAAAGAAATCAACTTTTAGACATGTCCTAAAGTATTTTCACCCTTCAAAACCATAATATTAAAGGCTGGCATCATTAAAACAAAATGTGCAACTAAAAACATACACAAAATTAAACATACAATCCAAAATCAAATTTCACAAATGCAGGTTTCCAGCAGACACTCTGATGAACTTATCATGCAGTAAAAGCTTGTGTAAAAATCTGTTCAGTCAAGTATCTTTTATGACTACCTCACTGGCAGCCTTATAAGCACCCCCTTGCCTTGGAAATCAAGAACATACAAAACTACATACCACTGCATCGACAAACAATAGAGAAACTCCTGGTCTTTGCACAGAACTGTTGGTAGCCCAGATCGAAACGCTCAGACATAAACACTGATAGCAATAAGTAAAAATACAGAACAGAATAACATTGATCAATGATGGTCCCATTGTTACATCCTCCCCCTCCACTTCCACACAGACAAGGGGAACACAAGAGGGAGGAAAAATGTTGAAACAATCGAGAATGCCCTTTACCCCATAAGTAAAAAAAGTAAAATATTATTGTTGTGTAGTCTGACTAGTTTTTCAGAGGCTTAAGCTTCAAATTTTACACCCCTTTTTACATTTTGGCTGATCCTTACAGAAGTAAAAAAGTCATAAAATAATTTGAATAAAATCAAAAAATTATTCTTCCGGCATCCAAATCAAATGCAAAGGTGGAGTCACATGTTTTAAAAAATATAAACCAGTACTAATGTCAGAATACAGAATATTATATCAAATAAACGGGGGAACTGAAATAATTAAAATCTGTGGTCTTAATTTAAGACTAACAAAAAGTAGTCAACACTATGTAACATACAAGAGTGGTATTTCCACCGATATAGATGTAATAGCTTTGTCTTGATTGACTCATTGCCATGAGGTTAAGTCAGCTTCACTGAGCACTGTTTGCCTTTCTTACAATAACAAATAGGTTTTATGGACTTCTAGTTTAGTTTTAGTAAGAGCTTTGCGGCACTTGCAACACAATAATAAGACCATGTAAGTTCCGAAGATTAAAAGTGTTACAAGAGAGTAACAAACACAAAAATGGAGGAGAGATAAGGATGATAGATGTTTGATAAGAAAGAAGGAGCACCCACCAACCACCCGCTTTATGGACTTTGAGGTGGATCCTGAGGAGTAGGGGAGGGGGCAGGGCCACATGAACATATACTGTCTGCGATGATCCCAACGATGTAGTTGTAGACAAATAGAAGACAAACAAACAGGTTTTTGTTGTGTTGAGTGAGAAGCACAGCAACATTGTGGTTCTCAAAACACGCTGACAAAGTCAGATTATAAATGCACAAAAAAGAAAAGAGCATAATAAGTGTCACATAAGGTTCCTGGGTGGTTGGAGAGCATCGCTGGTAGTGGTCGGTCCTAACCTTAATGTCTTTCTTTTTTTTTTCTCCTTCTGCTGCTTAAATCTCAATTAGATCTGTCTTGTCTTCCCTGCACAATATGACAATGATTGTGTCAATGTATATTCTCTGTACTCAAACTCAGAACATACATTTCAAAGAAGCACAGTCAGACCACTCTCTACCTACAGTATTGACATGCTGACTATTCTGAGTGATCTCCATGCTGACTATGTCAAGAACATGATTCATTATGGTACCATTTGGTGCTTTGTATAAACATAGCACTGGAAAGGCAAAGATGTCTAAAAAATATATGATGTCTTTAACTTTGTTCATTTTGTGAGCTGCTTGCAAGACAGATTGGAAAAATGGAAAAACTGCAATAATAAATTACATTACTTGAAACAGTACTTAGCACATGTAGCTTGGTTTTGAGGTGCGAAAAGAAATCAACAATAATCCCATCATCTCATTTCTTCTCCACCCAAAAGTGCTATTATAATAATAATATAATACAATGAATCCTCTTTCGGGGCTTTTGGCTCCATCTGGTGTTTTCCTCTCACACTGCACCACAAACTGCCTTGCTCTCAAAGCTTTTTTTGAAGACTCCTTTTTCTAATGTAGAAGTAAAAGTTCTTCGTTCTTTCTTCTTTTTGTGGAGTTTACTCTAGGATCTAATCAAAGGTCCGCAAATAACATAATGTGCAACAGTAATTAAAAGACATTCAGCAGGAAGGAATATGTAATACTAACTAGTCAACAATACTCCAAGAACCAATAGTGGTAGACTAGACGTGAAATGAAAAGAAAAATTGGAAGCTAAGCTCTGGAAACATATATGGTATCAAGAAAGATACCATCCAATCACCTCCTGTTGATAAAAACCCTCCACAAAATATGACAGGAACAACTCGAGGGATGAGTCATTTCACAAAGTACAAGTACAAACTGTGGCAGAGGTAAAATAATTTTGCTAAACAATGTACTGAGAATAGGTACAGTATGAATATCAAGTTTGATAAATGCATAACGGTCATGTTGTGATAATGTAAAAACAACATAAAAATATTTGTGTTCATTTGGTACATAAATAAAGCCAAGTACGAGCTGCCCAATGCAAAAATAAGTCTCCCCCCCTACCCCCCTCCCTGTCCTGCTACCAATGATGAAGCCCCGGCTGTGGTTGTTGGTAGGCCTGACTGGACATGTCATATTTAGGGAGAGACGAAGGGTCTCCGGCGGCCCCCTGCATGTCCGGGGGACCAAGTTGGTGCGTCGGAGGTAAGGTGGCTGTCACATTTTGCAACTCGTGCTGAGGTACTGGGTTGTTTCGATTGTCCCCCATTTGAGGCTGGGGCTGCTGCTGCACGTCAGGTTGCACCTGCTGAGAACCTGGACCCTGAGGAAGCATCATGTTCTGCTGCCACGATGTGTCCGCGTTGCCCGGGCTTTCAGTCAAATACATGCTCAGAGGCATCATCGGCGTCTGAGGCATGTCAACGCTGCCGAAATCAAACGGCAAACTGACAGGAACACTCGGGACTTCCTCCACAGCAGGAGCTGGAGGGGACGGCTCGGCTGCGGTGCCGTCTTCCAGATCTTTCATCTGAGACTTCATCATTCTCTTCACAATCTCTTCTTCTTCCTGCGTTTTCAAGGAAGGATCGTCTGTACCCGTGGATTCCGTTGTTGCAATTGTGGCAGTGTTTGTAGTTATGTTAGAATCAGAGGCAGAGGTAGATGCTGCAGTTGAAGAAGTGGAAGCTGTAACGGCAGCCGCGGCTGCTGCTTTTTTAGAATGCCATTTTGGAGTAGGTGGAGATTCTTTATTGGTGCTATGCTGCACCACTTTAATGTGCGGAGCATGGGAACTCCAGATTTTCCTGAAGGTTGAAGCAGCTATTCCTCTTTTTCCTGTATGCTCACAAAGTTCTTTATACTCTTTATAAACACTTGTAAAAGTGTGTGCAGCCGGAAGGCGTATAACTCCTTTGGCTTTGGTCTTTTTAGTTTTGCCCTTTGGGGCTTTTCCAGGAGCACCGTGTATTGTGCCATACCTGAAAATGCAGAACCAAAAAAAAAGATGTTAACAATTCATATTTAATATTTCGATGAAATATGGGCCAATTTTTTTCACTTAAAAAACCCAAAAACCCCTGAATTGTCTCAAGACAAAACCAAAGATGGAAATGTAAACAAATGTCATGATACTACCAATGCCCATTGCTGAGGCACCCACACATAATGTTATTACTTATATTCCTTGTTAAGTTTAAGCCATTACAACTCTCTATTTCATTCTTTTGAATATTTCTTTTTGTTCAAGTTCAACATCATAATAGACAAAATACAAGTTGGTATTGACAGAGGAAGCAGTACTTTCCAGTGACTACATTAAAGAAACAGTAAAAAGAATGCAGAGGAGGTAGAGACTAATCTTACTGATAAGAAACTGTCAAAGATGATAGCAGCAACCAAAAGAAGATAAAATTTAAAAATTTACAGAAATGCACTAATGCACTGGAACAGTCCCACCACTGAAGAGAGTTAACATAATTTATTTTTTTAAAATAAGTTTACTTACTTGATAATGAAATCTGCAACGTTTTCAACATCGTCAGAACGGAGTGCATGGTGAGGTTTTCTCCCTTGATTCCCATGAGTTCTTGATCGGACTCCCATTTCGTTGAAATGTTTCTTTAAGTTTTTCATATATTTTGCACCAATATTGTTCACAAAGAGAAAACAAACTTGACAAATGCGAGTGTTGAGGAGACGATAGTTGAATCTGTATCTCTGCCGATCACTGTTTCTGGTGGTTATTGTTGTTGGAACAGCAGCACCCCGAAAAAGTCCCATGATGAAAAAGTCTCGAGACTGCCGGTCTAAGCTTGCAATTTCCAGACGATGCGCTGCCACATCCTGTAATGTAAGAGCAGACAAACATGCACACCCACTTGATTTACGATAATCCAGAACTTGCTGAATATTTTCGACAGGGCTAATTTTCTTAGATCCTTCCTCATCATCATGCTCACTGTCTTTATCTTTACCATCTTTATCGCCACCACCACCTCCAATTTTTTCATATGGATTTGTGTAACCCATTTCTAAGGCTAAGGTAACGGCGTCAACTTTTTCAAGGGCCATAATTTCTGCAACTCTTTCTGGGCAGTCAATTGGCGTCGGTGCAGACAGAGGCGTGGCCTTCTTTCTAACCGGCCCGTCACCTTGTGACTTTCGTTTCATGGAGTCTGGTTTTCTCGGTCTTCCTCTGCCCTTCTTGGGTGGTGAGGGTGCACTTATGGTTGGCGCTGGAGTAACGTCTCTCAGTTGCTCTAGATTTGGGGGAACAAACTCCTCCCTCATCTCCGACGACACTGGCATGCTGGGAGGCTCCATGTACAACTGCTCTTGTTGTTCGTGATTTGGTCTAGCTTGTGATTTTTCTGCTCTGTGCAAAAAGAACTTGGTGAGGGAAGAAAATTTCATCCTATCCTTATCCATAGCATACGAGTCAAAAGTGGAGTCACGGTCATCCACATACTCATCAGGCATAGGATTGCTCCGGACATTCGTCAAAGTGTGCATCTGCCTCATGCCACCCCTGTTATCATGATGCATAGTTTGCCCCATATGCATATGTGGTCCTGTTGATTCTTCCAATGCCCTATCCCAGTATATCTCAGTCTTCATTTGTTCTCCTGGCAACATTCTCATTGCACCTGAAAGTAATAAGAAAGGCAGAATAAACTATACAGAAAAAAATAAAATATAAGAAGAACATTTTTCACTGATGAAAATGACACATTTAGAATAGTCAGCAAATCAATCATGCCATGGATAGTTGACCACAAAAGCAGAAATCTTTCGATAAACTGTCAGGGCAGATGAACTTAAATAAGTCCAGACCTTCACACATTAAATTAATGTTTACTGATATATTTGAGATATCTACTGTACCACATACACTAAAAGTTTTCCACATTTTCACTTTATATATTGATGCCAAGACAGCTAAAAACAACAAACAACATCCCCCCCCCCTCTCCCCCCAAGCACAAAGAACTAAAGCAAAAAAGAGGTCTACATAGCAGTAGCCAGAATCACATCCCCCCTCCCCCCAATCCAATCTGAAAAGTTGCATCAGAGATAACACAGACATGATAAAACCAGTTGTTAGTATCGTGATTGTAGGAAACATACTAAACCAATTCAGAGATAAAACCTTTCACTTCGATTTCTAAAAAAAAAATTCTTAACATAATTTTTCAGAGACAAAGAGCAGTTCATCCCTTGAAAATTAAATTATTTGTGTTTGCACATAATATTGAACCAATAGCCTAAAAACAAACAATTTTTTGGTAAAAATTATAGTAACAGTATATTTAATTAAAATAGACGATCAAACCTCGTATTCCAAGAAACAGAACGGAAATCTGTCAATGAATGAGTAAAATAAAACAAAAACCTCTCTTTGCTTTCCTTGCTATGTAAGTGAACATCTTCCCATTAATTGAACAGAAAACTCAGTGACGAGGTTTGATCATCCAACATTTTAGCTGGACTTACGTGATTTGGTCCTGACCCTAGGCTTGGTCATATGATTCAGAAGCTGTGGTGTACTCACAAAACATGCCTGGTATCGTTTTAAAAATAAATTTTTGCGAAGAAATACTCTTACGGAATCATGCTGTTCTGAAAACATTAATTTTGTTTTCATAGGCAGCTAGAGCAAGAATACGAGGTTTGATCAGAATGTAACAGAACCGGTCAACCGCATAGTTAGAGACGACACGACGACACTGACCCTCAACAAAAAACAAAAAAAGCACTCCAACAGAAGCATTATTATGTGGAGAGAAAAAATCTGTGTAGTTTTAGCAGTAGACAAAACCATCTATTTCAACAACTTTTAGAAAACTTCACACTTTCCCAACATATACGTATCATGTGTTTTTGCACAACTTTCTGTTCCCCCCCGGGTTTTTTTTCTCTCCTTTCCACCTGTTACTAATTACCAAAGTGAAATAAAAATCTTGTTTGTATCCCAGAGAAAGATAAGATAGCAGACAAAATAATATGGAGGAAAAACATCACTACGGAAAAGAGAAAAGAAAACCCTTTAAACCAACAGTTAATACCAGTAGTGAATTTCAACCACACGTTCTGACACGAAAGATGAACTTGATTAGCAATAAGGGGAAGTACAACTTTATAAACAAAACAGACAATTTGGTTCATTGAGAGGGTGGGGTTCGTTTTTTTATAAAAGTTTTATAGCACTGGCAACACAAATAGGTCATAAATAAGCCAAAGATTTGAGGTGTTACTAGAGAGCAACATAAAAAGAAATGGACAGATAAAAAAGATGATAGATGTTGGATAGGAAAGAAAGACCAAACAACATCAGAGCACCCACTAACCATCGCGGTTAGGAGTGAGTACAAATAATAACTCAAAATAGACCTTAGTTCAAGAAATGGGGGGGGGCATGCCGCAAAATGATAGACAAGAAAAGAATAAAAAGAACTAGATCAAGGACAGGTATAAAATTGAATATATTTTAAATTAAAGGAGCTGTCCATTTGCATGAAAACTTATGTATAAGTGATTTATTGCGCTGATAATAATTACAGCATAATCTATGATCAGTATTAATTTAGTTAGTTCTTTACTACATTCTAGAACATTAACGCCTCGATCTGGAGAATCAGAACTGAAGTGAAAAAAGGATTCCGATTCCACCCATTTTGAACATTCAGTCAATGTATAGCTTTTCAAGCAGCAGAGTCAAGCTTTTTTTAAAAATGTAAGTGTTTTTACGCTCCCATCGACACAATTTAGAACGTTTAAAAGCTTCTGACCCTGCCTGTCAGGGCCAACCCGAGCACTGTTACACCACAGAAGCCAGTCGAGTCCATCCTCTCAATCCACGAAAAAAAAGATGATACAGGTTAGAACTGATGTTTTTCTACAGAGCACCCACACAAATATTGTGATGGCCTTTGCAAACTGGGGGGGGGGGGGGGGGGGTACAGCCTTTGCCAGATGGTCTGATAACCATAGAATACAAACTTGGAATGTGCATCATTTTTATCTCTTTTATCATCTATTCTTCAACAAGAAAACGTAATAATGCCTTACTCACTAAAACTGTCACTTTTGAATCCTTTCTTCCAGAGGTATACTTCAGCAACTGTGACCTTTAAACTTTAACAACAGTGAAATCATTTAGTCTTCTCAATAAAAAAACCCAAACAAGTAGGTCTCAGAAGTTTTCAGATTTAAAAATTGATCCACAATGTCTGGCAATTTCGTTTAACTCTAATTCACAAGAGTAGATCACTTCTTATGTAATATGACAACCTGAAGATTAACATAAGCTGTGAAGAGGATACTCATTAACAGACAATTTTCGGCCAGAGATAGTTTCATTTTATCATCACAAAAGAAATATATAGCTTCAAATTGAAAGTGAAGTGACAGAGAAGGTGGTAATGGATATAATATATAAATAACAACCAAAAAAAGAAAAAGAAAAAGAAAATTGATATGTCGGGTATAACCAACCACAAAATAGCCGAGATAGTAGATAGAATCCCAAACCTTACGGTCAGAGGAACGGAGGAAGATCGAGACAACATGGAGGAGAAAGATGCCACAAAAGTGGGCAAAACTTGAACATGCCAAACTGGAGAACAATTCATAAAACAGAAAAGAGATATATCAAAAATTAGGCTTGAACGATTGCTTGGCAGGTCAATCACATTTCAGAGTCTGACCAACTCACACATCTACACCATCCGGGACCTTAAACTGTGTTGAAAGTGAAAGGGGCATGTGCTGTTTGTTTTAGTAACTGTTTTATGGCACTTGCAACACACTGGGTCAAAAGTGCCAAAGATTAGGGATGTTAAAAGAGAGTAACGAACACAAAAAAGGAGGAGAGACAACGATGACAGATCTTTGATAGGAAAGAAGGAGCAAAATACATCAGACCGCCTACCAAATACTACCCACAGGGCATGTGCACAAGTCCCATTCAATTGCACAAGTTAAATATGATCAAAATTCAACAGTCGAAACAACTTCTACTGTTGTGACAAAAGCCATGTTTGAGTTGTTTAAGGATCTCCACACCGGCTTTCTGATAACTCAACACAGGACCATTTGTATTGTAACCAAGCAGCAGATTACAATTCAGTGATATAAATAATGTCAAAACTTTGGAGCAGCAAACATCTCCCATGTCCAACTTTGGTTTGTTTCAGTAAGAGTTTTACAGCACTTGCAACACAATTTGGTCAATAAGTGCCGAAGATAGAGGTGTTACAACATAAAAAGAAGGAGATATAAGGACGATAGATGTTAGGAAAGAAAGAGCAAACCACACCAGACCACCTGCCAACCACCCACATGTCCCACTTGGTTGTGCATTAGTACCTACGACAAGTGAGGTGCACTCTACAACCATTCTGTACTAGAAGACAACAGCCATATTTCACCTCTTCTAACAAACCATGGATAAAAGAACAGGGAACATTGAAAAATGAAAAGAACAAAGAAGAAGAAGCAGACAACACCAAATCATCCCACAACTCAGTCGCCCTTACACATACAAATCACTACAAAATCAAGAAAAGATACTACATGTATTGTCAATATAATATATATATAGCATTTATTTCTTTCAATGAACATTGTTTTATTTCTTCAACAAACATTCTCATGAATGTGTACAATTGCGTGAAAATTCAACTCTGCCCAAGAACACACAAACAATGAGCAATGTAATGGTTGTGACTACTCAAGTTCATCTGAAGAAAGCCGTACACACCTGTCCACACCACACTTCTTATGTCAAGTCAAATCCACTCGATCATCAAAAATAAGCACTTTTGCATACAATCATACATGATGTATGTTACCGTACACATCACAACTTTGTCAAGACAAATACACTTGATCGTTAAAAAGCAACTACACTTGCACACCTTACACCCATTACTTCACAACTCAGGTCTGTAGAACTAAATATTCCCACGAACACAGCAAAAGTGTGTGTGTGTGTGTGGTAACACTTTGCCGCCTCATCTCACCGTGGCGATGTTTATCACCCAGTTTCTATGGATCTCCCCTAAAATATGATGGCAAAGTGTTAAGTCATAAGTCATATCTGCAGCAGCTGCAACACAGCAAAATGAATTCAATGCTGCATTTTTTAAAAATTACTACACTATGGGTACAAAATTAAATGCCTTTTCTAGACCCACAAGTGTGTGAAAACAATAACATCTGTTTAGCTAGTTTGGTTCCAAACTTACGATCACTTAAAGTTGAGAAGTCAAAAACACAGTTTTCAGAAAATCAAGGTTTTGCCCAATAACTCAAAATACCTGTGCACGACAAATGAGTCCTTTTGTTGTGTTGCTACACATAATATATTTATCAACATTTTTTCTAGATGTGATAATATGATACGTTATCTTTAACTGAACATTCTTTTTCAAGAAATAGACTTATTATAATTATAATGAACATATGTGTTACATGGCTTTGGCAGGATGAGGACCAAAACGGGCCAAAAATTTAGACAGAAGAACGATCTTATCCTGTGGTACATGAATGGATGGGAGTCTTTCCTATACCATACATTTTCGATGACAGGAACTTTAAAAACATTTTAAAATTGTGCAAATATAATATCAAGCATACAATGGTT